CAGAGTGGAGTTGTGCTGCCAGATCCAGGCACCAGCACCTGCCTCGGGTGGAAAAGGAGGTTACACGGCAAGGGTCCTGCTGTGGGACCCTGGGGATCCTCTCTGGGACCCTGGGGGTCCTGCCCAGAGCCTCTCTGCCCAGGCTGGGACTGTGGCTGTTTCTCCAAGCAAGAAGGGATGGATGTTTGCAACCCTCCGCAGCCCTCTGGAGCAGCCGTGGCCATCAGCGGGGTAGACAGGGGGACACTCAGACTCCTTTCCTCCTCACAGAGGGATTTGCAAAGCCGCTTTGCTCCTCTGCCTGACTCCCCTCCCACCAGGGAGCTGAAGGGAGCAGTGGATGTGCCCCTGTCACCAGGTCCCTGCCAGCTCTGCCAGTCCCACCCACACTCCCCTCCCAGTGCTGCAGCCAGAGCCTGTGTCCTTCTGTCCCTCTGTCCCTCTGTCCCCCTGTCCCTCTCTACCCCTGTCCCTCTGTCCCCCTGTCCCTCTGTCAGGGGATAAGCCATCGGCAAAGCCCTGAGGCACCGCGGGAGGGGAGCAGACACGAAGGACAGCTCCCAGCCCAGCCCAGCCCTGCCCGGTCGGGCGCACCCCGGTCACCGTGAGCCACCGCCAGCCCCTGGTGGCCCCGGGCTCGCCCTGGCTCTGCCCCCTCGGGCACCTGCAACTCCTGCAGGGACTGTCCAGTGGGACAGAGCCAAAGTCACCTCCAGCTTGACTCCTCCTTCCGTTTGGAGGCCAGGGAGAGTGGGAGGGAATCCCCTCATGAGGGTCCCCAGTATCCCCCTGTGCCAGCCTGGGGAGATGGTTACAGGCAGGATGGAACCGGGAAAGCTTTTGAGGCGGAGGTGATTAATGCAGGTAAAGGAGAGGGATCACCCGAATTCCATAAGGGACAGCAGGAACTCCCTGGCGTGAAACCCCTCCCGTCCCTCCGAGGGAGCAGAGCGAGAGGAGCGGGCTGTGTGGGAGGGTCTGATTTCCCTGGCTGTGATGAGGGTGGAGGGCCCCGTTTGCTATTTTCTGCCCTGCAAATGCCTCCCTGGAGCAGCACGGACGTGCCAAAGGCCCGGGTTTGACTGGAAGGAAGTTTTTCATCGGGAGTGTTTGGTGGGCGCTCCTCTCAGAGTTCCTGGTCAGCTCCTTGTGTGAGGTGAAGTTTCCTTTCCGCTGAACAAGAACTTGCTCGGAAATCGCTGTGACATGAGGCACATCCCAGCCTGGGAACCCTTCACAGCCCGTCCAGCAGCAGGCTCCCCGTGTGCCCGTGCCAAATCCCCTATCTGGGAACACAATGTGTTTCCTTTCTCCCCTGCGCTCGCTCCCGGCTTTGTTAAACGCTCTCGAGGCCCCGCGGAGCCAAAGCCGAGCGGCGCCCGGCACCTGCAGGCAGCGCTGATGTCAGGAACACCTGCAGGAGCCGGGAGCATCTCCTGCCTCCGCGGGGACAGGCGCTGGGGCTGCGGAGCCGGCCCTGGAAGGGGTCTGGAGTTCTCCACGAGCCTGTCAGCGGGATGCAGCCTGGGCTTGGCCAGCGGTGCCTTATCCCAGGCGGAGCAAACCTGCTCTGTGCAAACCGCAGGGAGGATGCTGGTCCGGCTCATTCCCAGCACTCTGAACGACACCGTGGTTCTGCAGAAACCGTGGAACGGTGCACGTTGTGTTTCAGTGAAGTTAAATCTGATCAAAGACCCTGCCTGCGTTTTCCTGTGTCCACACGAGCTCACCAGCAGCTGAGCTCTGGCAGTGTTTTACTCCAGACCTTTCCCAGCTGCAATTCCTCTCCCGGGGGAGCTGGAAGCTGCATCAGGAAAAGCTGGGCTGGAGAAGGGGGCTTGGGCTGGACCAGCGCTGAGCACAGAGCCAGCCCAGCGGCGCTGGAGAGAGGCAGGATGGAGAACAGACCTCCGAGCTCTTCTCCAAGCCCAGTCCTCCCCGGAGCGCTGCGGCTCCCAGGCGCCCGGCCAAGCCGGACCGCCAGGCCAAGCTCTGCGCGGATGAGTTACGTGCCAGGTGAAGCTGATGGGAACCTGAGGCTGTGAAAGCTCTGCAGGAGCAGCTCCCTGGAGAACACCTCCTGGGGACGAGCCCTGTCCTCTCCGCGTGCAGTGCTGGGATCTCGCGAGGGGCTCTAAAGAAAAATTCGATCTGGCTGGCAAAAAGCGTTCCCATGGGAAATTTTGACTTTCTGTCAGAAACTCCAGAGCATTTCTTTCTCAGCCCCAAGGAAGCATGAATAGGAACAAAGATTCAGTTTTGGCAGGGGGAATGGGCTTACCAAAGAAAACACCCAAATTTTTAAGCAAAGCAGACACCTTCTATAATTTTTCTCCTTGGATGAAAAGAAAAAGAAAAAGAAAACTCCCAACGATTTTCCAGAAAGTAAAAAAGTAAATTCAGTGAATAAAAAAAAATTAAAAATGCAACCAGTGCTCCCAGCGCTACTAGACGCAAACCCAGCTGGTGTGGCTGCTGCCCCTTTGGCTCAGCTCGGCGCTCCGGGCGCTCGCTCCCCGAGCGGCGCTGGAGGAGCCCCCGCGAGCGGCGGCTCCCGCTCGCCCCTGCCCCGACCCGGGGCCTGACTTTCCCCCGGGATTTGGGAGAGAAACCAGGGTGGGCCGACGGTTATGAGCGAGTGGGTGGGAGTTGAATGGGGTTATTGTGATCTTTATCTGGGGGGATTATTCCAGGCGGGGTGGGCTTGGCAGGGCAGCGCGGGGTTTTGGCCGCGGCTGGTTTTTACAGACCGATAGGTGCGGCCCCAGGCAAGGAGCGGCGGGACCGGGCTGCGGAAAATTGTTTTACGGTAGCTCCGTCCTTGCAAAACACTCACTTCCCAGCAAAGCCGGTGGAAAAGGAAAAAACAGAGCGATTTTCGTTTGCAGAAGTCTGACGCGGCTGGGAGCGCACATGGTCTGAAATGCAAAGCCTGGCATAAAAGTGACATATTTTACTGGAAACTGGGAACTTGCTTCCCTTTTATTGGAAGTACATTGGAAGGGAGAAGGATGGTAGGAGCACGGCGCCAGCACAATAACGGAATAGAGGCGTTTTCAGGAGAATCTGGGGATCCTGCAGAGCAGACCGGGGGTCCGATAGCACCTCGAGACCGCGCCAAAATTACTGCATCGCTGATAGCGGTGACCCTGCAGGCAGGGAGCGGGGCTGAGGCGGGGAGAGCCGGACCCCTCCTGCCCCCCGGCCTCGCTGCTGGGCGAGAGACAGCGCCGGGAAGGGGGAGAGGCGCGGAGCTCCGTCCCCGAGCGCTGCCGGGCGGCGGGAGCCGCGGGACGGCGGAAAAGCAAAGCCGGAGCTGACCCCGGCAGCCTCGGGCACCCCCGCTCTCCCTCGGGACGCGGCACCTCCCGGCCGCCTCCCCCGTCCCGACGGGATCCGAGCATCGCCCCGAGGCTGCCGAGACCCCGGGGCCGCCGGTGCCACCGGGCCCCTCTCCCCGCAGGATAACCCCGCTCGGCCGTGCCTTCCTGCTGAAGGCGCCGGCGAAGAAACTGCGCTCTCTGCAAGGCACACATCTGATTGTGATTTGGGGAAAAAAATAAAAAATGAAAAAGAAGGGAAAGAAAACAAAATTAAAAAAAAAAAAAAGGCGGCCAAGCCCGGCCGCTCGGCGAGGGTTTTTTCCTATAGTCGGAGCTGCAAATATTTTGGAAGACGGGGCCGTGTTTTCCGTGTAAACAAGGCGGCGGCGGCGGCGGGGCCGGGGCTGCGCTCCGCGGGGCCGGGGGCTCGGGGCCGGGGAGCGGAGCCCAGTCCGGGCCATCCCAGCCCCGGGGCCGGGTCCCCACGGGCACAGGGCCGAGCACCGGCCCCTAAACCGCGCGGAGAGGAGCGGCATTGCGCGGGGATCCCGCTGGGAAGCGGGGGTGGAGGATCGGAGGGAACGTTCGGCGGGATGTGCGGGGACTCACGGGGAGAACTGCCCAAACCCTTAACCCTTGTCCACCTCGGCAGAGGCCAGGGACACTCCGTGTCCGCCCGGGACAGCCAGCACGGAGCGTTTCTCGCTCCAGACGGACCGAACCGGCTGCTGCCCGCTTCTCATTTGGCCCTGGGGCTCCCTCAAGTCCCCGCCGCCGCCTCCCGGGGCCGCCCGCACCTCCTGAGGATGCGGGGACGGGAGCTGCAGGCTTTGCCCGGCTTCCCTGCCCTGCTCCCGGCCGCCTCCCGCCTCCGGAAAGGGCCAGGGCCCGTCCCGGTCCCGCCCGGACGCGGAGCCTCTCGGGCTCGGCGGCGGCTCCGAGCCCGTGTCCCAAGGAGGAGAGCGGGGCTGCTGGCGAGCTCCGGGATCCCGGACCGGAGCCGGGCCCTGCGCTCCGGGCCCCCGGCCGGGACCCGCGCGGGACGGGAGACCCTGCCCGGCCAGCCGGGACCCCGCGCTCCTTTGGACACGAATGGCGTTCCCCGGAGTCCTGAATGCCCCTTATCCCCTCTCCTCGGCTCCTTGGTTTTTCCTGCCTCGCGTTTCCGAGCTTTCCCTTGCTCTGCTCATCGGAGTCCCCCCCTAGCCCCGTCCTGCGCCGCCGGGTGCCTACGGTGTCCCCGTCCCACGGCCCCGCGGCTCTCGGTATCCCCTGCCCCAAACTCCTGTGCCCTGCCCGGTGGTCGCAGGCTCTCCGTGCACCTGGAGGTCCCTCGGTGTTGTCACCAGAGGTTCCCGAGTACCTCAGTGTCCCCTGCCTTGAGCTGCCGGGCGCCTCAGCGTCCCATCCCCTGCGCTCCCGAGCGCCTTCCCATCCCCGCTCCGAGGTCCCTCGGTGTCCCGTCCTCGCCCCTCCGCTCCCCGGTACCTCAGCGCCCTCCTCCTCTCCCGTTCTCCGCGTCCCTGCGTGTCCCCGCGCCGCTCGGCGTGTCCCTGGATGTCCCCGTGCCTTTCGCCGCCGCCCCCCGCGGCTCCTTCGCTCTGCCCTCCCTCTGCCTCCCCTCCGGGGACCTCCGCGCCCCGTCCCCGTCCTGCTCCCGCCCGGGCCGGGACTCACCCACGCACTCGTTGGCCTCCCGGGCGGTCGCTCGCTGCCAGGGCCGGTCGTAGTGGAAGGGCTTGCAGCGGTCGCACTCGGGCCCGGCCGTGTTGTGCTTGCAGTCGCACACCAAGCTGTCGTCGCGGTCCCGGACGCAGCGCGACGCGTGCCCGTTGCACTTGCAGCGCCCGCCGACCTGCAGGTCGGACACGGCGTAGAAGTAGGAGTCGCGGGCCAGCTCGGAGTCGTCCTCGCTCTCGTCGCCGAAGGTGTGCAGGCGGCTGAAGGTCACCCTGATGTCGGTGGCCGTCACCCAGTCCTGCAGCACGGGCGAGTTGTCGAAGTCGTGGGCGGTGGGGCGGCCGTCCAGGGTGCTGAAGGCGATGAGGCCGCCGGAGAGGGGCCGCACGTCGGTGTGCGAGTCGGTGCACACCGCCTCCTGCTCGTTCTGCTTCGTGATGGCGGCGCGGCTCGGCTTGTTGTACATCTTGCGGCACTGCGTGGAGTAGAACTGGAAAGGCACCCAGGTCTTGCCGTAGTCCATGGACTTGTGGATGGCCATGGACTCGGGGCGCGGCGAGCAGAACTGCAGGCTGACGTAGGTCACCTCGAATTTCTTGCCGAGGGACAGGGTGAGGGTGACGTTGTGGGGATACTGGACGTAGCTGTCGGACTGCCAGCAGGTCAGGTTGTGCGGGTTGTTGAGGTCGGTGAGGAAGGAGGGCGGGTGGGCGCGCTTGGGGTCGGAGGCGTTGCAGAGGTGGCAGGTGCGGACCTGCTCCTCGCCCTTCTCCGTCACCACGCAGTACCGCGACGGCGGCTTCCCGCAGGTGCTGGACACCTTCACCTCCTTGCCGAAGGCCGAGTTGACGAAGTCGGGGATGCAGCGGCGGGGCAGCCCGTGCTCGTCGTAGCAGGGGTCGGGCTGGGCGCTCTGCACGGCGAACATGCTCACGCCGTGGTAGCCGCCGCGCAGGGGCTGCGCCAGCCACGCCGCCGCCAGCAGCAGGGCCAGCGGCGCCTCCGCGGCCCTCCGCGGCATAGCGGGGAGCCGCGGGGCGCCTCGGCCGGGGACGCGCTGCGGCGGCTCAGGGAGCCCGGAGCATCGCCCGCCCCGCGGCCAGCCCCGCGGAGAAAGGGGAGACCGCGACGGCGGCGGCACCACAAAAGTGGGGCTGGCGGCGGGGCTGGGTCCCGCCTGCCTCCCGCCCCGGCCCTCGCACGGAGAATGACTGGCGGTCCCAGCCCCCGCCGCGTTTGAGGTCATGCTAAAGGAGTGACATCGCGCTCAAGGAACAGAACAACGACATCCACTGGCGGCTCAGCCAGAGACGCGCACAGGCCGCGGGGAGGGCGGGGGGGATGGGAGTGGGACGGAGCCCGCCTCGACACCGCGGGCTCCACACTCCCGGGCCGCCCCAGGAGCCGGGCGGGGGCCCTTGTGCCCCCACGCCCACCGTGCCCCCGGCGGGGCTGGGGGAGCCGCGGCCGCCCGCGCCCTGCAGCCGGGGATGCTCCGGGGGCGTGGAGCGGGAAGGGGGGAAGCGGCCGGGAGGAGCCCCACGCCCACCTGTGGGGACGCCGGGGGGATCAGGAAGGGCACGTCTCCCACCAGGTCCTGATGGCCTCCCCGCTCCACCGGGCCAGACACGGACTAGGTGGAAGGGACCCCGGCCCGGGTGGGCTCCCGCGCCCTCGCCCTGGGACAGAAAAGCCGTGCCGGGGAAGTTTAACGGGGGGAAGCACAGCACGGGAACTGCCGGGCCTGGCCACCCTCGGCAGGTGGTTTTAGGGGGCTGGTCTCGGGGCAGAGGGGCAGTCTCTCTGTCACAGCCCCGGACAGACCTCTTGCCGCCCCCCACCTCGCTCTGCAGTCTGTCGGCTCTCCCGTTAAGGCGAGGAAGGGGTTAAAGGGCGGCACTTGTCCCGCACCGGGCCGTGGCCCAGCCCCGCTCTCCCCTTCCCACCCCCCGGCGACCCCCGGTGCCGAGGGGCTGCCCTGGAGCCGCTCGGGCCCCGCTCTCCCCGCTGCCATCCCGTCCGGGGACCAGCCCGGGGGGACGGCACCGATACCCGGAGAGACGGGGACGGAGCGGAGTTTCCCTGCCTCGGCTCCCGGCCGCCGTGCTCGCCCCCCTTGCCTCCCTCTTTGATTAAAAGGGCACTTTTATTTTTCCAACGGAGGTGCCCTCTCTCGGAGCGCTGCCCACGCCGTGTCACTCAAGCGGCCGGGCCCTGGCACGGAGGCTCGCTCCCCTCCCCGAGAGCCCCGAGGGCGGCCCGAGGGGACGGGGGCTGCCCGGGCAGCGGCGAGCCCCGGCCGGCCTCCGCCCCCTCCTCTCCGCCCGCCCCTCTCCCCGCTTTGAATTCCTTGCCACCGAGCTGAATAAAAGTGGTTGTTGTAAATTGAATTAGTGCCTGATTAATCTGCTCCCGGGCCTGCTAGCCCAGCGGGGCGTCTTTGGCAATGCAACCGCCTTCCCTGCAGGGCAGCGGGGCTCCGCAGCTTCCCTGCCCCCATCGCTCCCCCCGGACCCCCCCAGCCGCCCCCCCAGCCCCGCCGCTCCCGGGATTTGTTAACTCTTCCCCGGGAAGCGGCCCCTCCGCCCCGCTCCCGGCCCTCCATCGCCGTGTGCGGATGGGGATCCCCGGGCCGGGGCTGGCGGTCCGGTCCCTCTGGTCCCACCCGGGCCACGCAGGGACTCGGCCACCGTCCGGCACTCCCGGGACACTCACGGGCAGTGCGGGATCCCCCAGCCCCGCAGAAAGCTTTAACCCCACTCCCGAATCCCGGCCCGGTTTGCAGAATTGGGATGGGGGCTGTGTGCTCCCGTCCAGCTCTGGGAGGGCGCCTCAGGCAGGGAGGGGAAATTTTGGACTGAACTGTCCCGGGCCGTGTGGCCAGGCCGGGACAGAGGCCCGGGGAAGCCCCGGGACATCTCCGGCCGTGCGGGCTCTCCCAGCAGGGATGGAATCCCCAGCTCGGAGCCCCAAGTTCGGGCCCGCAGAGCCCCGCAGGTTCCTGCCATCAGCATCTCTCTCGGTTTGTGACCCCTCCGTTTTTCCTTCGGCCACGCGTGCCCGGGACCAGCTGCTGCCGAGGGTTCCTGTCCGCCCGTGCCCGGGGCTGTGGAGGGACAGGGACAGGGACAGGGACAGGGACAGGGACACGGACAGGGACAGGGACCGGGACCGGGACAGCTCCCGAGCCCGGAGGGACGCGCGGGGCCCGCTCGGGGCGCAGCAGGTGCCGCTGCCGGGACCCTCGGGGGAAAGGTGCGGGTTTGGCTCCGGTAGCTCCGAACCCTCCCGGAGCCTCTCGCCGGCCCGACCGCGGCCCGGGAATGTCCCCAGCGCTGAAATGTCAGCGTTTCTTCAAAATCCTTCAGGGTTTCTGAAGGTCGCCCGGCCGCCCCTAGAAGCCCGCACGGACCTTCACCGCCTCACAGCAAAAATTGGGGCGAATGTAAGGAAAGGTGGCCCCGCGGAGCTACCCCGCAAAGCCGAGATGCTCCTAATGCCATTAGCAGGGTGTTAATTTAACAACCGGCCGGCGCTGCCGGGCGCGGGGCTCCGCTGCCCGCCGGGCTCCCGGGGCTGCGGCCCTCGCCTTCCTCCTGCCCTTCTCGCTGCGTTTATTCGGAGTTTCACAACCCCCGGGGTTTGGAATGGCTCTTGCGGTCATTAACGTGATTTACTGAGGCTTTCTCCTCTAATTACCTCGCCCTCGAGCTATCAAACGCATGTAAGCAGCTCCGCGGGGACCGAGGCACGGCTCGAGGCCCGGCCCGAGCCTGCCGGACCCTTCGGGGCCGGGGCTGTCCCGGGAGCAGGGGACGGGGCATGCCCGGGGAACCGGCCGTGCCCGCCACGGATCGCCCCCACCGCGAATTCGATTTTCCTGTCAGGAATCACCAGCCAGCCCGGCCCTGCCCGGCCCCGGGAGGGATCCTTGCCCGAGTCAGCCCCGCTGAGATGCCGGAACATCTCCGGTGCCTGCACCGGGAACGAAACACCGCTGGGACCGCATCGGGCATCATCTCCGGTCCCTGCCCGGTCCCGCGTGCGGCCCGGGGGCTGAGCGAGCCGGGCCGGGCCGGGCCGGGCCGGGGCAGAGCGGAGCCTCCCCGCTCCCCCGCGTTTGTCCCGGGAGAAGCCCCGGGGACGGAGAACCGGGAAGGGTTTGATTTCAGCCGCGCCGGGGACAGCGGGAAAGGCGGCCCCGGCGCTCGGAGCCTGTTTTAAAAGTCAAATGGCTTCGGGTGCCGGAGCTCGTCCTCCTCGCCGGGAACAATGCGCTGCTCCTCGCCCACCTCCCCCTGCACCGCCCGGGCTGCAGAAGGGAGGGGGAAGCCCGAGCGGCTCCTCTCCTCCTCGGCTCTCGGGGGGCCGTTCCCGGCGGGACCGGGAGCGGCTGGAAAGGCAGAGAAGACCCGGGTTGAAATAATCAGGAGCGATTTATTCCCCTGGAGTGACAGTTCTTTTGAGCAGTTGCCGAATGGCAGTTTCTGTCTTTCTGAAAGCTTTTCTTCCAGATTCTGTTCAGATTAGGCTGGGGAGATGAATGAGGCCATTATCCAGCCCAGTAGCTATTCTGAAATGCCAAATTAATTACCAAGGGCTAAATCAAGGCGATGGGGGCTGGAGGGGAGAGGGGGGAGGCGGTTTGAGGTGTGAAAATATCTCCGCGATCTTTCAAACACGGCCGCGGCGGGCTGCCCGGGCTGCTCGCCTCAAACCCCCCAAACCTCGCCCCGCACGCCCGGGGGCAGCGGCGGCCGGAGCGACCGAGGAGAGGCCGCGGGTCCCGCTCCGCTTCCCCCGGCCCGGCTCCGCACGACCCCTCCCTCACCTCGGGCAGCGCGGGGCCGAACCGGGGCCGAACCGGGGCCGAACCTGGGCCGAACCGGGGCCGCTCAGGGCTCCGGGGGCCCCCCGGCAGTCCCGGTGCCAGGGACTCTCCGTGACCCCGTGCCGGTCCCGCAGCGCCGGAGCAGCGGCCCCGCTGTCCCAGACCCGTTTGCGGAGTTCCTCGGCAGCGGAGCGAGCCCGGGGCGTCCCCGAATTCCCGCAGCCCCCAAGACCGCCTCGGGGATGCGACAATGATCCCCAGGTCGCGTCTTTGCAGTGAGAGAGGGAAGGGGAGGGCAAGGGGTTGTGCAGGGATGCTGATCCAAAACTTGGTTCGCGCTGCTTGGCTTGGGGGTCATGGAAAAACCTCGGAGAAAGGGAGAAAGTCCGGCTCCAGGGGAATTGGGGAAGAAGGCACCGCTGGCTCTCCCCGGCCTGATGTCTCTCTGCCAGCACAGATGACAACATTTGCACATGACATTTAATCCTCTACCCTAAAGCTCTGTGGCTCCCGGCAGGCAGTTATTGTTATTATTGTCGCTCTAATATTTACGCTTTGCTCCCAAACAAGTGTAATTTCCCCGATCGCTTTGTAGCTCCTTGGCCCCTAATCCAGTTTTCTCTTCAGTTCCCGGGAGACCACACCTCTGGCTCCTCTCATTCACAGGAAAAAGGGAAAAAAAGAAATAAAAAGAATGGAAGGAATTTTTCATTAAAAAATAACGTTTAGGAAACAGCGGGTCAAGCCTGACTCTCAGTTTTGGACACGAGGCTGATGCCGAATCCCCTGCAAATGCCCACGGTCCCCGAGGGACATCCAGGCTCAGCCTGGGCAGCAGCGACAGCAGAGCCAGGCAAGACTTCTCCTCGCACCAGACAGTCCTTGCAAAGGAGGAATAAGCTCCTCGGAGATTTCCCAGGGGCTGAGAAGTGGGCTGGAGAAGGAATCAAGCCTTTAATGTAAATTGGCCGTGGCTGGCAGAGACCACTGAACACTGGGCTATTCAGCATCTCTGTGAACCTCTAATGATCAACTCGGTTTTCAATTATACACCCACAATTGCCACCAAGTGAGATAAGCCTCCGGAATACTATATTTCCTCTTGCAAAATGTTTTCTTTAGGGCAGGCAGGCTGGGAAGCCGAGTGAGTAATATTTGATTTATTTTCAGCAGAGCTGGGACGCGCAGCAGCCAGGAGAGCTCCCGGCCCGAGCAGGAGCCAGGCTTGGCCCGGGCGGCCCAGGCGCTCCGGGAACCCGCAGGTGGATCCAGCGGCTGCGGCTCCCAGATATTCCAGGAAAACAGGGGCGCTCCTGGGCGCCGACGCTGCCAAACCCTTTGATTTATTTGTGTGCTTCCCTACAGAAAAAAACAGGGGGAACATCCCCAGGGAACATCCCTGCGTGGTTCTTAGCCCAAATTTCAGGGATCTGCAGGACTCTGCTGCCAGCCTGAGGGGTGGGAGAGGTGGGGTGAAGGAAACAGGTTTGGGGTTGGAGGAGATTTCTGTATAAATATTGCTGGGGATCTGTGTGGAGAGGGAGGGATGGGGACATCCAGTTTATTCAGTAAAATGTTTAATTCAGAGAGACTTCGCTGAGCTTTTGGTGGCACTCTGCAGATCTTGTTTTTAGATTATCAAAGCACCCACCTGGATCTCAGGGGACCTGAAGCAACTGCAGGGCTTCCTGTCCACTCCTTAGGACTATTCCCTTTCTATCCAGCACTTGTGGGTCTGGCTGGCAGAGGAGCACCGCAGCAATTCACAAATCCCCACCCCCAGGACCCAAGAGACCACGCAGCCCAGGTGCCACGGAGGCTTTTGGGGACTCTGAGCATCCCTGTCCCGAAGCCCTGGCCCCACACCACATTCTGCACACCAGTTTGGTGTCCCCACTCGGCTGCCCCTCCCTTGGCACCGCCTGCCAGGAGCTCGGGAGTGCTGGGCACCGTGAGCTGCTCCTCTGGGAGGAAACCAGCCTTGACTGAGGGCCATCCACGGCCGGGGGTGGATCACAGCAAGCAGAGCCTTTTCCTCCTGACACTCAGAGAAAATCGATCCCTTCACCCAGCGCCTCGAGGAGCTCCCTCTGTCACATAATTAACTCTTCTGCAGCACTCCTCAGCGACAGTGGGCTGGTGGGACCCAGCCCCGACTGCAGCCGGGGCAGCCCCGGGCCGGGCTCTGCCTCAGCACTGCAGATGAAGGGGCCCTTTTGTTGCTTCCTTTGTTTAGAAGTAATAAAAAGAAATAAATTCCAGAAAGCATCCTGTTCCCCGAGGGAAGGAGCGGGGGATTTGTAGGGCTTGAGCCAGCAAAGCTGGGGAGGGGCAAAGGGGGTGATGCAGCAGCCCCATC